GATGGACTGGCACTCGACCAGGGTGCCCCCCCACAACCCAGACAGAAGCTGCCTTCAGGTCTCCATCAGACTGCCTTATCCTAAGCAGGGTGGTGGGAGTCATAAGCCTACAGCTAACCATTGCACCCCCCCCCCGCCCCCCCATTATAATTATTATTTGTATCATTAGTATATTTAAATCTTCACCTCCTGAAGTGGCTTCTTTACTTTTTAATGTTTGTTTTCATGTTGTGCTGACCTGCCCCAGCCTGGATGGTCAGTGACCCTATTGCTTAGTGCCCACATGGTTCCTTTCGCTGTGCCAGTCATCTCTCTCTCTCTCTCTCTCTCTCTCTCTGACTCTGTCTGTCTATCTGTCTCTTTCTTTATCTGTCTATCTGTCTGTCTCTTTCTTTCTCTCTCTCTCACTCTGACTCTGTCTGTCTATCTGTCTCTCTCTCTCTCTCTGACTGTCTGTCTATCTCTCTCTCTGACTCTGTCTGTCTATCCGTCTCTCTCTCTCTCTGTCTTTCTGTCTGTCTCTTTCATTCTCTCTCTCTCACTCTGACTCTGTCTGTCTATGTCTCTCTCTCTCTGTCTTTCTGTCTGTCTCTTTCTTTCTCTCTCTCTCACTCAGACTCTGTCTGTCTATCTGTCTCTCTCTCTCTGTCTTTCTGTCTGTCTCTTTCTCTCTGTCTCTCATGAATTGCGAAAAAAAATAATCGACTTTTTCCATTTAGGAGTAAAAAATGCCATAGATGTGATACTACGTTAATGTGATACAAATGCATAAAATAATGGAAAGGCATTCATTTACAAGCGTGATATTTGCTTTAATTTAGAATTAAGAATTCCTTTTTTTAAAAACATTTTTACAGAAGACAAATATCTATACATGGCATTCAAAAAGGTCTGGGAGGTGGGATTCGGATGATAAACAGCTATTGACTGATTCCACCTGTTCCTTGTTTTCACTTGGTTTTTCCATTCCCTAAATAACATGACTCTCTGCACCCTGTCCCTTAGTCGCATGACTCTCTGCACCCTGTCCCTGAGT